TACAAAAATACCATGATTTCCGTCCCAAAACGACGTCGTATTGACTTACTGCAGATAACTTATCTACAGTAACTGCAGAAAAAGCGAACCCTATATATATATATATATATATATATATATATATATATATATATGGAATCGTTGACCATACATTATTGAACAACACCACAGAAAGTTTAAAAGCTTAGTCCTTAGATAATAAAATATCACAGCGTTAAATAGCACCTAATTAGAATCACATAAAAGAATCCTTGAAGAAGTAGGGGGGTTTGTCAAGGTCAGATACTGACCTCACCTAAAGAATTTTTTGTTTAAAAAAAAAATCACATCAAAAGCAAACAAAAATACATTAACGATAGTATAAAAGCTTTATATCACTGCTTTTGAGATTCCTGAGTCCATTTTATTTATCTAAAATTTATTATTATAATTATAAAATTAGCAGAAAATTACAACTATTAATACTGAGAAGCAAACAAATTAATCACAAACGTAAGGATTTCCAAATCCCCAACTATAGAATGCTTTTTATTTCCCCCGTTATTATTTACTTCATCTAAACTTGCATGAAGTTCTAAATCTCCATTAGAAATTCTTTATTTTGCTCCAATCTCCCCATAGCTTCAGATTCCAAGGTTAGCTCCACATCAATGCTCTTCCCACCATTCCTCCCTGGATACAAACAAATCCTCCCATCAAACTTGTTATTACTTCCACTCCTAACATTTTGTGGCTTCCCCCATCCAAAATCCACATCGTAAACCTTAAACCTTGGTGAGCTTCCAACAAACACACTATTCACCCCTGCATCTTTGAATTCAAATATCTTTGGTGCACTTTCGAACCTTTTGTTACGTTCATCAATGGCTTTCGCATTGTGTCCTTCAATCGCTTTCTGAATCAACGAAGCACCAAACTGTGGCGGCTGGTCCCACAATAACCCGGCTGCCGTCACCGGAAATATGGCTTGAATCAAGTTTCCGAAGTAAGTCTCCGGCATCGGCGGGTCAACCCGTTTCCGACAATTCATAAAGACGATGAATACGGTGTGGTCTTCAGATTTAAGGTTACGTGCATGGCTTACATGACGCCAAATATGAACCGAGAGAGCCTGGAATGTGGAGAATGGTTTTGAGCCGTCTGATGGCGGGGTTTTGTTGACTGTTGACTTTATTTTCTCAATGGCTAAGTCTGAGAATCCGAAGATTTTTTCCCTCAGTGGTGAGACAGGCTTGGGTTTCGCATCATCGTTACTTGAGGCTGTTGGGCCCGAAGGAAGAGGGAGGTCATACTTCACGCGTGTGTTTCGGGCCTTGGTCCGTTCAAGGAAAGGTGGAGCTGACGTGGAAGGAGCGCCACGGCATGTCTCAGCCCATGAGGTCATGAAGTGCCACGTGGAGGTCCCATCAAGCACCCCGTGGTTGAACGCGCATCCAATTACGAGTCCATCTTTGATCTTGGTCAACTGAGCATAAGATGATGTGCATTGTTGTTGTTGTCAGCGAATCAGTGAAAACGAAAGCAAGAAAGATTTAACGATAAAAGTGGCTGACATTCTTCTTGTGGGAATTTAATACTAATGATAATCACTTGGATTCTTATAATTAAACACTAATGTCAAATTAATGTTAACTTGTACCATAAAAACACTAATGTTAATTACATGTAAACCAAAACTGTTATCGAATTATATTAATTTTTCAATTAATTATTTAATAGAAAACGTTTATTAGAAGAAACGGGTCAAGAAAGGCTTTGAATCGATCAAGTTATCTTAGTACAAACCCCTTTTAATGATTAACTATTACTTTCTATTTCTGCATTCACATCGACATAAGAAAAAGTTTAAGCTGGTCAGAGTTGACATTTGTGGATATTGCTTTTTATTTCTCTTTAGTATGAATGAAGATTAACAAAGTCATACAAAAATGAATATACACACGCATGCACATTTGAACTGATTAAATTACCTGAACAGCCAGCAAGGACCTGTGCATCCCTTCAAAATTCAAGATCCCATTGTGCGGCACAAACTCATTCAAAATGCTGTTTGTCTCTGGCACAATTAGATCTGCTACCTCAATCTCATCAAAAACTGCCTCTGTGACCTCAACACCAGCCATGTCATCATCATATTCAACTCTGAACACCCCCTCCTCATCTTTCCCTAGCTTACCAGCTAGTTGATGGAAATCCTTCAAGACCACGCTAAGCCCATCTTTCAATTTCTTCACCATTCCCTCAAAGTCATCCCCTTTGTAAAAAAGTAGCTTCTGGTGGTAGTAAAAACATAGGTAGGGTAGATCAAACGTGACCAGTTGATACTCCTTCTTCCCAATTTTCTCGTTAGGCTTCACATGGCTTTTACCAGTTATTTTTAGATTCAGCCGTTGATTCTTCACCGGCCCTGCTGCAATTATTGAAAAAAATATTGAGAGAAAAACAACCTTAAATAAAAGGTACGAAGAAAAAAAAATGTCAAAGAAAAATGGAAGTGGATTCTCTTAGGTAAAAAAATGTTCATGTGGTCATGTTATTTAATCACAAAAAGAAATAAGAGAGAGAAAAATATATAATTTTTAAATGAATGATTGTGATCAAATAACATGATCACTTTTTCACCTAAAAAAACTGAGTGGGTTTGACGTGGGATTTGGGCAAAAGCACCATAATGTACATTAGTTGTTAGGCAAAAGAATTGTCTAATAGTGATTGGATTAATTATTTCAAACTAATGCAGTAAAATGCACACACACCAGACCTGTACGTGACTTTATGCCATGCAGGCAAGTCCCGCACAGATTTGGAGGCAGTCCCGCATAATCACATGCGGTTTCTCTCTTGGTAGCTTCTTAGCTTTAGAGAAGGAGATGGATTTTTCTTCTTTTCAATTACCAATATTGCTGACACTACCATTCCCAGATGAACTAGAGTTGCCACCAGCAGGCGATGAAACAAAAGTTGAGGAAGACACATCCCTCTTGATCTGGTTCAGCACAGTAACTGATAAAGATGCCACCCCTCCTCTCCTTCCACCGCATTCCACTGCAAAATCTCTCAAGCCCCACAAAAGGGGATCAAAAGGATGAAGCTTTCCCCCTTTACCATGGATTCCATTAAGAGTAGCACATACCCTTTGCCTCAGTGATCCAACACCGCCACCAGCACTACACCATCTACTCCACATTTTGAAAACCCACCAAAAAATACCAAAACTTTATGTGCAAAAACACAAAAATCAGCCAAAATAAACACAACACATCTTTTCCTTTCTCCTCCTTTATCTGGGATTTGAGTTGAGATGATATTTATAGACAATTGTATGAATAAAAAAAGTATATAACAACTATATATATATATATATATATATATATATATATATATATATATATATATATATATAAAAGCATATAACTAATTCAACCACAATATTTCAACGGGGTATCGTAGAAATTTTTTACCCGAATTCCTCACCACTTTTGATTTATCAAACAATTTTTAAACCATAAACCAATGAGCTTGGAACGACAACTGAGGAACAAGGAAGAAATAGCCACATATATATTTAAAGAAAATTCCTTTTTGATAACCTTTATTCAAACCTTACGCACCCATGATTTAATTGCACGCACGACTGTGTGCATAAAAGTCAATATTAACACAATCTTATCTTAATAAAACTCCTGTGTCAGATTCAAATTATTTATTCAATAAGTAGTATAACAAAATTTAAATTTTATATATAATATATATACACACACACGACTTTTAAAGAACAAAAAATATACAAAGTTTATTTTTTTAAATTGATTCTTGTTATTGTTTTATTTATAATATTATTATAAAAATTGAACCGATAACAAACCGTCATTTAGACTATTATATCATTTAAGATAATAATTTTGATATAAATACCAAGACGTTTAACCTTAACCGTTACATAAATAGTATTCTATAATCAAGTTTTATGAATATATCAAAACGAAGAAGAGAAAGAAAAAATAAAATATTAGATAAAGAGAGATGTTTTTATTTATTTTTTAACTTCGAGAGTTGGCTTTATTGATAGCAATGTTGTCAAAATCGAGTTTCTACGTAGAAACGGGAGGATAGTAGAAATGTAAATCATAGAAATGACACGGAACGTAAAATTTCTTCTATTTAAGGTCAAGATACAAAATATATATATATATATATATATATATATATATATATATATATATATATGAGGTAGGATCATCTGAGAGCCATTAGATCAAAAAATATCAATGGTGTCACATGCTTACAAATCAGAGTCGTAGATCTTTTTTGATCTAACGGCTCTCAAATGAAGTGTCAAAAAATCCTGCTCTCTCTCTCTCTCTCTATATATATATATATATATATATATATATATATATATATATATATGCATATAAAAAAATCACATACGTCATTATTAAAAATTCAACGAACAACTTCATAATGGAAGAGGATGGCTCAGCTCGAAGAGGAAGATGAAAGAAGGGGTTTGATTAATTTGAGTTAGATAGCAAGAAAAGAAGATAGTCAAATTGGAAGAAGGCTACACATTCTGATATGGGAAATAAGGTTTTTTGTTTTAAATAAAATCGGGTCATGGATTAAGTTGACCCGGTTTAGTTTTTGAGTCTAAGTAAAAACGTAAAAATTTGTGTTTATACCATTTTTACCCGACGTTTTACCTGTTGTTGGTCTTCTTGCAGTCTATCAAGGAAAATACATTCATTCCCAAGATTATGACTTTCTAGTCTCTTATTTGTTTAGTCAAGGAAAATGCATTTGTTTCCAAGATAATGATTAATTGCGCAAGTGCACACATCGGGTAATAAAAGGTAATATTATGCCCAAATTATCGTTCCCATGGAGAAAGTATTGCTAAGTGATATTTTAAGTTGCATTAAAGAATAAAAGAATGGGTTGAAAACATTGAACTGTTCTGGCCATTCGTTCACAGACATCACATTGGCGTCCCGTTATGACAAAAGGTTCAAATCAACTTAAAATAATTCTTCGCGTTGTTAATATATTTCAAGCCCTTCCCTATTTAAGAAGAAACGACAAGTCATAGGAAAAAAATAGTTGTTGTGTAACGATAGGTGTAAATAAAATAAAATAAACAGAAAATAAAGGTGAGCAAGTTCTAGGAATAACACAGGTGATATGATAGCGGAACAATAGTCAAAAGAAAGGGAATGGATCTACTGATCCACTCTTAAATCTTGTTGTAATCTAATCTCAAGACCTTGTCCAATGGAATTGTTCAGGTCTCCTTAGTGCCAACTCTGATTACTTATCTCATGGGCTAAATGGTATACCTCATTTTCCTATGGTGACTTCATTCCCAATGCTTACTCTGCACAGAACCTCAATGAACGAGAGGGTCCATTATTCTTAAGGCAACCAATAAAAGTATTTTCACACTCTTCACCTTTCTCCTATTGTTCAGCTGTCTAAATTTTCTTCCTAATGGAAGCTCCTTTCTCAGTCATGTTCAAGTTCCGTTGATACAAGAAATTAAAATGCTTAAACAACAGAAATCTAGAGGGTTCAGTACGAGATATTCGACCATAGAGGTTTAACAATCTTACAGAAGCTTGTTGTTGTTGCCTTTGTTTGATCTTATATTTATATGCTAGAAAGACAGTGACATTCTTGTCATTGGTTCAGGTCTTTTCCTGGACCGTTGGATTGAGGACTTCCACTCATTTCTTGATCAAACAGAGGCAATTAATCGGGTTACGACTAGGGTTCAGTTGTCTCTTGCTTTTGCTTCCCCAAGGACGATTCTCTGACACCCGGACATGTGTAGTGTATTTGTCTGTGCTGATGTATGTCGCAGTGTCCTTTCTTGCTTTATTACGTGCTTTTTTCCTTTTGGAATGCATTTTACAACCGTACTCTGCAGAAAAGCAAAAACAACTGTCATCAGAAAAAGTTAAAGTAGTTGACAACTAACTTTTATCCTCTTTCTCTCTTTTTCCTTCTTTCCTCGTTTAAAGTCATTCCCTCCCTCAAATCAACATTTATTGTATTAAGCTATTATTTATAACAAAAAAATTACTAAAAAGAGGGCAGAACAACTAGCATTCCACGGTGGGAATGACTTAAATGAGAACGAATTTTCGTCCCATCAATCGTTTTTACTAAGAAGCGTTTTTACTTATGTTTTGACACTATGACTTGAATAAAAATGTAAAAACATGTGTTTCAATGTTTTTAGTCATGTTTTTTACAACAATGATTAAGAGTATAAGCCCCGTGATAGATTAATGGTTAAAAGAGTAATGGTTCATATTAGAGTATTTGATCAGTTAATTAGTTTCGTATCTTGTGGAATTAGTTGCATCTGTTGTAACCGACTAGATTCAGTTATGTTATTAGCTTATTTCGTAAGCCTTTTATTAGTAGGTCTATAAATAGACCCTTGTGTATATTGAGTATAAATTACTAATTTAAAAAAATTATTAATTGTTTTCATTAAATTTAAGCAACGCGTTTATTAAATTCAAGTCAATTTTATATTAAAATAATATACAAATACTGCCTCAAGAATTATCAATACATTCATTGGATTTAAGTCTACTTTCATTAATAAATTACTTTCTTAAATAATCATTAATGTATTTATTATGAACATAGACACGGTTAGATATATTTCATTAAACAATTAGCTTTCTTTTTTCAAAACCTGTGAAAGTATTTCACAATGGTTAAGTTTAAACGTAAGACCTTTAAATTTATCTGTAATTTAGTTTCTTACCTCCAAGCTAAAGGTCAAAATATTCCTTTGTGTTCATTTGTATATAGAATTAATCCTACATATGTGGAATCGTTTACCATACATTATTGAACAACACCACAACATGTTTAAAAGTTTAGTCCTTAGAAAATAAAATATCACAACGTTAAATATCGTCTAAATTCTCAAAGAGATTGGAGGTTTGCCTTATCGCTGGTGTTGTTAAAATCGAGATTTTAAATAAAATCGAATGGGGACTAAAAAATCATAAAACGAAAAAATCGCAAGGTAAAAAAATCGTAAAAAAGTAAAAGCGTTTAGAATATGGATAAAATCGTTTTGATGAAAAAAAATCGTAAAAATGTAAAATTATACTGATAAATCGAGATTTTAAGAACTATGGCCGGTGGGATACCGATTTCTAATTCCACTTAAATTTTTTCTTGATTAAAAAAAAAGAATTACATCAAAAGCAAACAAAAGTACATTAATGAGAGTATAAAACCTTTATTTTTTTTTTAAATAGTAAAAAACCTTTATATCACTGCTCTTGAGATTCCTAGGTGGATTTTTTTTATCTTAAATTTATTATGATAATTATAAAAGCAGGAAATTACAATTATTAATACTGAGAAGTAAACATATCAATCACAAACATAAGGAATTCCAAATCCCCAACCATACAATATATGCTTTTTATTTCCCCCATTATTATTTACTGTATTTAGTCTAGCATATGAAGTTCTAAATCTCCATTAGAAATTCTTTATTTTGCTCCAATTTCCCCATAGCTTCAGATTCCAAGGTTAGCTCCACATCAATGCTCTTCCCACCATTCTTCCCTGGATACAAATAAATCATCCCATCAAACTTGTTATTGCTTCCACTTCTAACATTTTCTGGCTTCCCCCATCCAAAATCCACATCGTAAACCTTAAACCTTGGTGAGCTTCCCACAGCCACACTATTCACCCCTGCATCTTTGAATTCAAATATCTTTGGTGCACTTTCCAACCTTTTGTTAAATTCATCAATGACTTTCGCATTGTGTCCTTCAATCGCTTTCTGAATCATGGAAGCACCAAACTGTGGTGGTTGGGCCCACAATAACCCGACTGCAGTCACCGTAAATATGGCTTGAATCAGGTTTCCGAAGTAAGTCTCCGGCATTGGCGGGTCAACCCGTTTCCGACAATCTGCAAAGACAGTGAATACTGTGTGGTCTTCAGGTTTAAGGTTACGTGCATGGCTTACATAGCGCCAAATATGAACCGAGAGAGCCTGGAATGTTGAGAATGGTTTTGAGCCATCAGATGGCGCAGTTTCATTGACCGTTGACTTTATTTTCTCAATGGCTGAGTCTGAGAACCTGAAGATCTTTTCCCTCAGTGGTGGGCCAGGCTTGGGCTTCGCATCATCGTTACTTG